GGATGATGTTGCCCATCACAGAGGTAAGGTGGAGGTTTTTGACCGTTTCCTTGGCTCCTCGAGTGCTGGTGAAGAGCACACGGGCCAGACCCAGGTGCTTGCGAGTTCGGGGGTGAAGAAGGATCTCTACCTCTTCCACCTCACCATACTTTCGGCACATATCCTTCAGGAAGGTCTCCCGCACGTTGTCATTCAGTCTTGCAAAAGTCACTTCCTTCAGTGGGATCTGTCCAATATAGAACTCATCCAGCTGTGGAGAGGATAAGACTGGGGTCTTAATGCTTTTTCCTTCGGGAAACTTTACAGAGACCCATGAAATCAACAGAGATAGGACTGGAAAACTGAGAGGCAAAGGAAGGGAGCCCCAACAAGGGATACAACAGTCTTTATCCCCCTCTCTCCTGAATTCTTTTCACCACAGAATAATGGCAAGAACCAAGAAAAGAAAAGTGCAAACTGAGAAATAAACACTCGTGGTAGAAACCAGCTATAAAGAATTCACTCACTCAGCTTTTAATAGTGATTACTATGGACTGGGTACTAGGAATACAAAGATGGGGGGGAAAAGGAGATTCCTGTCCAAAAAAGTAGACAAGAAAGAGAGACACATACAATCATAACATGACATTAAGTGTCAGCAGAGGTGTAGAGAGGGTGTCTGGGAACCCAGAAAAAGAAACCTTTGTTCAGAGTAGAGGCAGGGAAGTATTCATACAGATGGTATAATTTGTACTGGGCCTTTTGAATAAACAGGAGTTACCCAAAATGACAACAACTTAAAAGGGCATGAAATTATAGAATAATAGCGTTTCCTAGAAATTGCAGAGTGTATAGCAGGATGGAACATAGGTGAGCAGAATCAAGGCAGATGAAGCTTGACCAAGTCAATAATTATAAATGTCAATGTATAAAAATGGACTTGGCAACAAAAGTACAATAAGAAAACAGTAAAATCAGAAAGACAATGACAGCAGGGTGGAACGTGAAATGGAGAAAAGAATGGAAGCAAGTAAACCAGAAAAAATGAATTATAAGAGTTTGCACTAAAGATATGACAATAAAAATAGGATAATTAAGACATAAAGATGTGTTTAGGAAAAAGGGTCAGCAAGACTTTGTAACAGATTATGTGATAAAGAAGAGGAGAATCACAGGATGACTCCCAGGTTTCTAGCTTGTATAGCTGAGTGGATGAAGGGGAGAGCAGGATTTAAAGGGGTAAAATAATTTGTTTTATATCTCTTTAATCTGAGATGTCTGTGGGGCTTCCAGATGGGGCTGTCCCACTACCAGGCATACACTTTTGAAGTTCTAGACTGATTTTGGCTAGAAATAGAGATTTGGAAGTCACGAACATTTTGGTAATAGTCAAAATCATGGGTGTGAAAAAGATTGTCCAGGGAAAATATACAAAGTGAAAAAAGGGATGAGGGAACCCCACGAATAATTTATTTAAAAATGAAGAAAAAAGAATCAGTGAGGGAAACTAAAAACCTTCTGGGCCCAGCCTAAGGGCTGATGAGTATCCTGCCTAGACAGGAAAATGGGAATCCTCTGAGGGAACAAGATGGAGGATCAAATGGCCAAATGAGAGGTTAGAAACAGACTCCAGGAATGGAGCCCCTGGCCTTATCACTCCCCTTAACTGTCGAGAAACTGGGGTATCAGACCAGAGCACTGTCAAGCTATACACTGTCTAGGAATACATAGTGATAAACGCAGCAGCTAAACCTGTCTTTATGTTATCCTTCAAGGAGTCAACACCCCTGCCTGTGACACCTCACCTATACCTTTCTAGAAAATAAACACGCCTTCTGTCCAGTACAACTCAGTCTCACAGTCTCAGACACTGTTAGAGCTAAGATCCTTTCATTAGAAAACTCCCTTTTATTCAGCTACATTAAGACTAGATTGCCAGGATGGATCCTCCACACCCTCTAAGGGCCACCACACCAGGACACTAGAAGAAACATACCTTAAACTTAGGGACTGGGAGGGAAAAGTCTCTGTTTTTGGACCTGACATGGCAACGAGGGTCTTGGAGGTCTTCGACTGGTATGTACTTTGAGTCCTAGGGAGGAAAGCAGGAACAGAAAGATAGCTCAAGGTGAAACCACATTGTTGAGCTCTAAGAAGCCCACCTGAAGACCCATATGCAAAAGAGTTGGGTTCTGATTAGCCACTTTTTAAGAAGGCAGACTATAGATATGGAAATTCCAGGTGTTGAACAGAACCAACAGGAGAATGGGGCCTGGAGTTTCCTACATGGCAAGGAAAGGCCCGGGACACTCACGTTGACACTGAAGTGGACTCCATCGTAGCGGTACACCTTTTGAGAAGGCCTGCGCAAGGCAGGGTCCAAGGCAGGATCCACGATGAGCTTGTAGTTTCGCCACTGGAAGCTCGGGGCCTTCTGCCCATCTCCCCCACCTTCCTGATCCATCTTTGCTCATTTACACTGTTACAACAGAGGAATACGCAACGGGGTTCATGTCTTAGGCCTGACTCCCTTGCTGCCCCTCATCAACTAGCCCAGACTCCAGGTTCTCTCATCACCCGTTTCCACACCTCACCATGACCCGTGGCTCCCCCAGATTTTCCAAGTACACTCTTTCACGTAACAACACATTCTCTCTCCACCTCCCAACTCTCCCCTCAGACCACCAGGCCCATCTCGTGCCCCCCCAACACACACACACACCTAGCGCGCGCCCCACTAGCCCTCGGAGCAAGACCCCTCCCCCGCCCCCTTGCAGGCCCCGCCCCCTCCCGCCTCCTCACCGGCCAGCGGCCCGGGCCAAGCCCGGCTCCCGCTCCCACACACCCGCTCGCGTCCCCGCGCCCCGATCCTCCGGCCAAGAGGTGGCACCTATTCGGGGCGTTGGAAACACCGCGAGACCGAGCCCGAGACCCGGCTTCGGCCCTGAATCTGGGCGGGGGGATAGGGGAAACGCGCGCCGCTGCCCTCTCCTCCCGCCCCGGTGCGTTCTGCCCCCCCCATCTCCGCGCACGCGCGGCGCGGCCCCACTCACCCGCTCGTGTCGAGCGGCTCCCCCTCCCCCCACCCCGCGCGGCACCTCAGTGGCGCGAGGCGGCGGCGGCGGCGGCAGCGCGAGACCCGGCCCCGCAGCGGTGGCGGCGGCGGCGCCCCCCCACCACCACCTCCCCGGCGCGCGCACCAAACACCACCGCCACCTGCGCGAGGCCCAGCAGGCACAGCGTCGACATTCGCACTTTCGCCACGGGCGCCACCGGGGGACCAAAGGGGCCGAGGATAGCAGTTTCGCCTCGGCCAGCGCCCGATGAGGCTCGAGAGTTGCGGCCTAGGGAACCTGGAGATTGGCCGCATCCCCCGGAGAGTGGGCTTCACCACGACTATCCAGCTGCTCTGGCCTGGGGCCGTTGACGAATCGGCGGCGACGAAAGCAGCGACTAATCCCCGAGGAAAAGGGGGCGGGGCGGACGGGAGGAGGCCAGCCAGAGCTGGGGAGATTTGAGTGACGCGTTGAACGGGCGCAGATTCGTCAGGCGGGCGGGGCGAATGGGTGGATGAGACGCGCGCTCCTTTGCTCCTCTTGCCTTCCCCTTTCTTGCGCGGCCAAACGTCTAAGAGGTTGCAGATTCGCCACAGGTCCCGGCCCCAGCTGTTGCCTCCCTTCACCCGCTTTGGTGGAGTCAAGGAAAAAAATGCCTGGTTAGCCAAGCCCTGCTGGCAGAGTCAGCCACTTTTCTGGATTTTCTTACTAGTACAATTCAGGGAACGGCCCAGTTCCGACCCGAGGAAAATGGCTATGGCCCAAAGCTCCTCTCAGAGTCCGACGAGAATTCTCGGCTGAACATCGAGGCCTGAGTAATTCTGAGGAGCCGGCCTAGCGAATCTGCGAATTCTCCTGTGGGCGGAGCCAAGGCGCCGTGCGCAGAGGGCGTGGTCAGAGCGTGCGGACCCTGGCGTCGCTGGGGCGCTTCCTGTAGGACCCATCGAAACCCCGGCGGACAGGGAGGGGTGCCCATGAGATGGGAAACTACAGCCAACCATGGTGACTCAGGCCGTTTGCCTGGCGCTGCACATAATGCAGGGAGCGTTTCCCTCCCGTTATCCTCGTTGGCCCCTAGCTGCTTAAGATGCCCACTTGACAGATAGGGAAACTGAGACCCCCCCAGAAGGTTTCGCATTTTGCCCGTACTCGGCCATCTTTAATGATTAAATCCAAAGGCTTCCTTAAAGTTTTGTGATAAACCTGGTGGGTCTTAAAAGACCCCTGAGTGGGTCATGTAGAAAATAAACTAGGTTTCACAGGAACTAGGGTGGACTGGTCGATTCTCTACGCATCATGGTCCCAGTGCCCGCCGTTTTTAGCAGGGGTGGGGGTAGGAATGCTATACTTACGCGGTCCCACCGCTGGAGGGCAGCACCAGCCCAGGTTTATACCTGGAACCCTGGGATTAAAGCCGCCTGACTGGGCACCCTTTTTCTGTGTCTTGGACGCGGGGTATTCTGGTGTACAGGTAATGGCATTCCCAAGAGGCCCTTTTGCCTGAGCTGAGGATATCTTAAGTTCCGGACCTCTACAGCTCTCTCTGTATGACCTTGGGCAAGTCATTGACCTCTCAAAGCTTCAGATTCTTACACTGTAATGGCTATTAATTCCTGTCACACAGGATTATTGTAGGCATCAGAAAAGCACAGGAAATGCCCTGGCTGGTTTGGCTCGGCAATTAGAGCGTTGGCGGGCAGACCAAAGAGTTGTGGGTTCCATTCTGGTCCAGGGTATGTACCTTGATTGCATTTCAGTCCCCGAACCTAGTCGGGTCATGCAGGAGCCAGCCATTCGATGTGTCTCTCACATCGATGTTTCTCTTTCTCACTCACTCTATCTGAAGATAAATGGAAAAATATCCTTGGGTGAGGATTTAAAAAAAACACACACAGGAAAGGCCCTTGAAGCCTGGTTCATATAATTTTACCATTTTAAGTAATAGGAAAAGAGAAAAAGGGTACTTGTTCAAGATCTCACACTATAAGAAAAAGAGAGAGGATTGGGATCCTTACATTTTCTCAAGTCAAACATTAAGAGATTCCCTATGTGATAGTAAAGGTAATCCAAGCTTTCACTGACTAGCTGTGTGGCTCTGAGCAAAATCTTCAGCCTTGGGCCTCAGGTCCCTTACCTCTGAAATGGAAATGAGAAAGATTTGTGTCTTTGGGTGGTTGTGAGGATTAAATGAGATAACCTATGAAAGACCCTAATATGTAATAGTCACTCAAAAATTAAAAAACAACTAAAGAGTAAAAGAAAGTTATGCTACTCAATGGAAAAGAGAGAGACCCTAGGCTCAGGAACAAGAGTGCAAAAGCCTTTTGCCTTGGAATAACTCAGTCTCTACATTCAGAAGCTACTGGCCCTGTTAGCATCAGGAGGTCATACTTGGAACCTACTCTCCCACACCCTTGTCCAGCACCCAGGTACACTTGCCTCTACTGATCTCTTAGGACCAAGTCACCTGATCCCAAGGAAGCCTCCCCTTCACCCCATTCACAGTCACAGGCACATCTGTGAAACAATTTATTATACAAACAAGGTGCATCAAAAATTCAGTGTCAGAATAGCTCTGTACTCCAAGGGTTAGGGACTGGACCTTCTCCTTTAAAACCTCACCCCACCCCTTGCTAGGGAGTCAAACTGGGTGCACAACTCCACAGCCTCCAAAGACCCCCAAGACTGGCACCGAAGAGTGGGAATCAGATACAGAAGCATTAAGTGTGGGTCTAGGGAAGTTGGACAGGCACTTGAACCTCCAAAAATAGGGAGGCTCCTTCTAGGAAAGTCTGGACCTATGCCTGGGGCAGAAACATCCAAATCCCTCTATATAGCAACTAAAGCAAGTGTGAGAAACAGATAGAAATGTGGGGATGGTGAAAAGCTTCCCAACATATGCCAACCATAAAATAGATTCTACAAAAATAAAGCAAGGGTTGGCTGCCTTCTGGGGCAGTTGGGCGGGCGTGTAACCTGACCTCCACATCCTATATAGGGGCAAGTGGCTGTAAGAGTCAGCACCAAAGGTCTCCCTGCCTCCATTCCACCTACTGTATGAACCCTGGACTGAGGACCTTCTAATTCCTCCTTTGCTCCTCCCAGCCCTGATGAAGAACAGAACTTACAAAAACCATGGTACAGGCTGACAGGGAGAATCCCTGGGAATGTGGGAGCTGCCCAAAGGCCCAGCCCAAAGAACCCTGAGGCCAGGAACCTGGTCTCTATTTAAGAGTGGCCATAGGAAGTGCCTCCAGGCAGGGTCAGGAAACAGTGGTCTGTAGACCATCGGCCTTTGGCTGAACACTGAAGAAGGCAGGACCTATAACGGTGGGTAACACCAGCCTCACACAGCCTGCAGCTCCCCCTGCAGGCGACTCAGCTCCTCTAGCTCCTGCTTGTGGCGGTCTGTCTTGTGTGCCACCAAGGAGCGGTAGAAATGCAGGGCAAAAGCCACAAACACAAGCCCCACAGGTACCATGATTGCTGTGGAGGCCATGGCTGCTTGCCATCCTGGTCCATGGGCCCCACCACCACCACATGTTTGCTGGGGTGGGCAGGGCTCAGATGGCTCAGCCTGTGGCTGGACCACAGAAATAAAGGGTGGCTTAGAAGCTGGATTCACGGAGGTAGCCACTGGTGGCAGAGTTCCAGCCACCTGGGAGGCAGGTACCACAGGGGCTGGCGTGCCCAAGGGAGCCCCAATGGGCACAAACTTGACCCAGCCAACCAGGACAACTTCAGCAAGGAAAAGGAAGGTGCCTAAGGCAGTGGAGAAGCCCCAGGCCAGCTCCACATAGCGGTGGAGTCGCTGGTGTGGAGACTGGTGGACAGAGTTGAGGTTGTGGATGTTGCTAACAGCTTCAATGTGGGGCAGCAAACACGTGGAGACCATGAGTGCAAAGAGATGCACAGCCACTAGTATGGTGGTGCAGGCACTGAAGGCCACCAGCAGGCCTGGCGGATATTCGTGGTTATTCTCCAGTTGTACTTCCACCATAGCCACCTGTGGGGACAAGAGGAGATGGATTGAGTGCCCATAACCTCCTGAACAGTAGCAGTGATGTATGTTGGCATACATCACTCATGTATCCTTAGGACCTAAAACAGTGCCTGGCAGAAAAAAACTCTCAGTCTAGCCCTGGCCAGGTGGCTCAGTTGGTTGGAGCATCACCCCATGCACCAAAAGGTTGTGGGTTCGATTCCTGTCAGGGTACATACCTAGGTTCAATCTCTGGTTGGAGTACAACCAATAGCTGTTTTTCTCCCACATCAATGTTTCTATCCCTCTCTCTCTAAAAATCAATAAAAACATATCCTTGGGTAAGGGTTAAAAAAAAAAGACTCTTTGTTGAGTACATGAATGGACAGCTTTGGGAAGGCTCTGGCCTCTTCTGGGATTCAGTTTCTCTACCTAGCTATCAAAATGGCTGGATGACATGTTTCTGACAATCTTACCTTGTTATAACATAGGGTTTAAAAAACAAAGATTCTGGAGCTGGGTTGCCTGGGTTCATTCTCAGGTCTATAAACTGTGTAGTCTTGAGCAAGTGACTTAATCTGTGCCTCAATATCCTCACCAGAAAAATGGGAATTGATAATAGCACCTACCTACTTTATAAAGTTGTTGTGAAAACTGAATGAGACAATATACATCAAGTGATAAGAATAGTGCAAAGCACATAGTAAGCACTAAGTAAGTGTTTGCTGTTATTGTTAGAGTTAACACTGTAGTCCAAGGCCAGAGTTTGCAAATTGGCATTCCACAAACCCAAGGTCAGATTGCAGACATGTTTTGCTTGGCTTAAACAGTGTTTCTTAAAGAATTACGTTTCCAACTTTTAAAACTCAAGAGAATTCATATAAATACCCCAATTTCCAGATCCTCTTGAAAATTTGGAAGATCTGTTATACATTCTTGCATGACAACTATCAGCTATAGTTGATTCATGCGTGCTGCCTTTGAACAGGTCATGGGGTCTCTTTATAGCCAGTCCCCACAAAACCAACTTGGCTTCTGTATTACCTGTCTGGCCTTTGCAAACATTTGAGTTGATAACCCTGTTTTAGGTTTGTTTACATTTGGACTCTAGAACCAGACAGCCAAAGTTCAAGTCCTGCTACTTACTTGCTGTGGGACTCTGGGCAGGTGTCTTTTAACATCTCTGATCCTCAGTTTTCTCATCTGTAAAATGGTCATAGTAGTGGTACCTAATTCATAGGATAATAGATGTTTCACATAAAAGCCGTAAGCACAGTGCCTGGTACATAATGACAGTTCAATATGTTTTGTTTGTTTTTTTTTGGTATATGCCCTTAGCGGGAACTGAACCTGGGACTCTCTGGTCTGCAGGCCGATGCTCCAACCGCCGAGCCAAACCGGCCAGGGCTGTTGTATGTTATTTTAACCCAGGCCACCTGAATTCTAAAATCTGTATCTTCCCCCAATAGTTCCTGAAGGACCCATTAGATTGCTTTGGGGCTGAGGAAAGGAAGAAGGTGCAGAACCTGAAGAGTGGTAGTAGAAGGACAAAGATGAGTATTTTGGGAAACTGGGCCATGAAGGGTGTTAGCAGCTATTATCCAGACAGGTATCTGGGCCAGGCCTACCCCTGCTTTCTCCCATAGTTTGACCCAGCCTTGTTTTCCCATGGCACAACCGGAGCCAGTCCTGCCCCCAGAACCTACTCATTTGGCTTCATCTTTTTTTTTTTTTTAAATCCTCACCCAAGAATTTTTCTATTTATCTTCAAGTAGAGAGAGAGGGAGAGAAAGGGAGAGAGAGAAAGGGAGAGAGAAACATCGACGTGAGAGGGACACATCGACCGGTTGCCTCCTGCACGACCTCAACCTCGACCAGGGACAAACCACAACTGAGGTATGTGCCCTTGGCTGGAATTGAACCTGGGACTCATTCGTACGCAGGCCAATGCTCTACCGCTGAGCCAAACTGGCCAGGGCTGGCCTCTTGATCTTGCAGAGAAGAACCTTTAACTTGTCACTCCAGAAACATCCAAGTCCAGCAGCAGGACAGATTGAATCATGGGGTGGATGGAGGTAGGGGACCCCTTAGATAGGTCCATGGAACTGCTCCTTTTTCTCTCTAGTCTGTATAAGTGAAGGAGAGCCAACTCCCTGTTCCTCGATGACTCCACATCAGGAAGGGTGGGCTGGTCTGTGGATCCTGGGCCCCCACATAAAAAACCATAGACCTATGATGACCCTTAGGGATAGATTTTCCCTCTGATCATTCAAATACAGAGGCTGTGGCACTGAGAGGGGCAGGGAATAACCCAAATTACCTAATGTTCTGACCCTTCTATCCCCATCTCAATTTGCCCCAAACAAGAATGGGATTCTCTAAGGACTCATCCCCTCCTGCCAGTCACTTTCTCCTTCTTCCTGTCATGGTGCTGGGGAAACCCTGGACTAACAGGCCTGTGACTCTGGGTCCTGGTTTTTTCTATTTCCTTCATTTGCTAAATGCTCTTGGCAGAGCCACTGCCCCATTCTGGGCCTTGGTTTCCATGCCCGTCCAATTGACAGCCTGAACCATCTTTGATGTGTGTCTTGTTCAAACATGCGTGGATCTAGATAGAGTTTGATGACAAGAATCAGCTCATCCTAGGGCAGGTACTTGGCAAGCTACAGAGGGCACACCCTCCCCATCTATTTCCCACTGACCAACCTGCAAAGGGACAGAGGCCTGCCCAGGGTCACACAGCTGACTACAAGCAGGAAAGAGCCAGGACTTGTGTATGCTGACTCCTCACCCTGGGACCTCACTCATTCCCACTTCCTATGAGGCTTCCGCTGGGACCGTTAGCTGATATCATCTTCCCACCCCACCCCCACCACAGTTTATCAGCTAAGGAATCATGTATCAGCTTCCTAGTCAACTTCTTTCCCCACAGCCTTCCTCACAGGCATCCTGTCTTCTCAAAGCTTCCTGGGCTACACCAAGCACCCTTTGTACCTGCTGGAGACTAGTTGCCCTTCTTGGGATGGGCCTTCAATTGGGTGACCACCCCATCTGTTTTATTTTCTCTGACCCTCCCCACAGTTGATACAGCCCCTCCCCAACTCTGATTTGCCTTTGAACCTCTCATGGCGGTCTAGTCATCACTCCTGCCTGGACTATGCTTTTGGACCTCTTTGCCCTACCCTTGCGTATGTATCCCCCTTGGGGATTTGTCACCCCCATGACATGATTTGTGTCCATGACATTTTTGGCACTTGTTTATCCTCCCTATGGCCGTTTATGCCAGGGGTCTGTTTACATACACACATACCTATTAAAAAGGGATCTGTGTCATCCCTTGGGAACTTGTTTCCCCCCTTTACCTCTTAAAACCCGTCTTTCCCTTTTCTTTACCCTGCTTCCCTGGGTACCCGTTTACTTTGCCCATGCCCCCGTGCCTCCACACCCCCACCATCCCCCCCACCCCCCGGCCTGAGCACCCCGCCCCTCCCCTCACCATGGCGAAGCCCGAGAGCAGGGCAGACGTGCGGCTGGAGGCTTTGAGCTTGGCCCGGCTGAGGTAGAGGCGGCGCCAGCTGAGCGCCCGCAGCGAGTGCTGACTGGCCCCCATGAGGTCCAAGTAGCCGCGGTGCACGAACTCTCGGTACGTAGCCGAGCCCGTGGGGCACTCGGCCTCCGGGTTCAGCGGGGCCTGTTCGCCCGCGTCCCCCTGGCCGCCCTTCATCCTGGGGGGGCCGCAGCACCAGAGGGGCTGGTAGTCAGGGCGGGGCCGAGTAGCCTCGGGGTGTCCAAGAGGGTGGTCGGTCCAGGCCGTGGGGAGGCCCCATCCCCCTGCGGGGTGAGCAAAGATGCGGGCAGCAGACGCCCAGGAAGAGGCAGCCGGGACTGAGCAGGAAGAACAGGCGTCTGCGGGAAGCACTAGGGGCCGAAGCGGGACAGCAGAGGCCGAAACAGGAACTGGGACAGAGGCGGAGCCCGGGCGACCACATGATGGGGTGGAGCCTGGGGGCGTCCTCAGAGATCTCCAAGGACCCCTGCGATAGCAGTCCACCTGGAATGTCATGCAGGAACCCCAACTCCACTGATGTTAACCAGTCCCAGCCAGTGACTGGGAGTTCCTGGGCCCTGGATCACTCCAAGTGCACGCAGACACACCCACACATCCAGAGCTCCAACCCCCTATATAAATTGTGAACTCAGGAAAGGTGAGCCCATCTGTTGTAGGGGCTTTGCGAACTCAGTTCCTAGAAGCCGAGAAAGTCCTAAGCTCCCAGATACATCCAAACAGCCCCGACTCCGAGAGCCACAAAGGGTAAGCACTCAGGTCCTCCCCGACCACCCCCACGCTTCCAACGCCGCAGACAGATAGAGGAACTCGGTGGCCCCAGCTGGAAGAGTTTGAGATTTATAGCAAACTGCATTGTACAGACCCGGGGCCCAGCCCGGCTGGGCCCCCAACTTGTCACCCGCCGGGCTGCTTCTTCCCCTTCCCCCAAGCGGCCCCAACCTCTAGCCTTTCGCGATCCCCAGGACCCCCTCCCACCGACCTTTGGTCCGCCCAGTCCCTCCCCCCAACCCGCGCACCTCCCCGTTACCTGAGGTATGTGGATAAATTCCCCCCTCCCCTACAATGGTACAACCCAGCTACCCCCGGAGGCCTGGGTTGAGGGGCGGGCCCTGGCTCCCCAAACCCCGCCCCCGCACAGGAGAAAGGGGCAGGGGCCGGGCCAAGAGTGTTACTAAGTTCCCATGGCAACCAAGAGGGGCCATTACCAGCCTTAGCCCCAGCTTTGGGACGTGTCCATTGGCTGCTATTTCCATGGCAACCAGGAGTGGCAGTTCCCTGGACAAATGGGATACAAGTTTCCATGACGGTAAGTGGGAAGAGCCAAACTGGAAGAGTCCCATCTTCCCCATCGTTGGGCTGGCACCCCACCCCACCCCCCTTCAGGCCAGAAGGGGTGCAACTGCTCAATACAGTAAAGCAAGCAAGAGCCTGGTGGTGGTGCAGTCCAAATTGGGCGCCCACTGGTCCAGTCTCAGTCCAAGCAGTCCAGCCCCTCACACTCCAGCTCCCCCAGGTCCGAGATTCCCCAGGTTCAAGTAACACTTCAGTACAGATGAATGTTCAAGTATTGAGCGGGGAGGCAGGTAGGGGGCTGGGGTACCCCTCACCACTCCCCTGGGCCATGCTGAACAGCAGATAGGCCAGCTGGCCCCCACTCCTCGCAATAGCTGCCATTGTCAGTGACTTTTCAAGGAGTCAGGGTTGGGGGGAGTAACTGAAACTAGGGAGTAAGGAGAGGAGTGACCCCCTGAGGGAGTGCTACTGCCCCCATACCTGCTCTTGCCCTCCCACCCCTCACTCAGCCCTGGCTTTCCCTGGTTCCCCGAGTACCCCCACCTCTGACACCTGGACTCCCAATTGCTTCTCTGGTTTCCCTTTTTGCCCCGCCCCCCAACTCCAAGTATCTGGTCTGTTCCCTGCACCCTTGGTGGTCTGCTTTCTGCCCCCCTCCCCCAGCCCATTCTCCACCTCCCCCAGCCCCTGGCTCCCAGTATCCCTCCCTCAAACTTGCACCTTACCCCCCTCCCACCATCCCTTTGGCTCAGCAACCCCCAGTACCTCTGACCCACTCCCCCCAGGGGATGGACAATGAAGCAGGTGGAAGGGGGAGGGGATGGGAAGGAGAAACCCCCAGAAATATCAGTGCAGGGGGTAGAGAGTGGGGAGGCTGGCTCAAGTCCCTGGGCAGGAATCCCAAGTCAAAAAACTCAGGAATCCCAAGTCATGAGGTGGGTAACCTGGCCTCCTGGCAGGGGTAAAATGAAGGCCCGAGGTTCAGGCTCCTGATGAGTCCTGGAGGAGGGTGGGGGGCACCCAACTAGCTGTCTTTGAGAAGCAGCTTCTCCTCTGGGCAGCGGAAGGGGCCAGGAGGCCCGGCAGCTGCTAGCCGGGCACAAGCTTCAGGTGAGAGCTGGCGGCAGGAGCGCAGGTCTAGACGGCGTAGGCGAGGGCAGCGGCGGAACAGCGGAAGGCAATGGTCAGTGAGGCGGTGGCAACCTGGGGATGGGGCAATGGTAGCCAACACCAGGAAAGTGAGTAGGGGGTAGGCACTGGTCATGGAAACCAACAGGCTGGCAGGATGGACAGACAGGGGACCATGCTTACCAGCAAGATTGAGGTGTACCAGGGTCTCTCGGAGTGGCGAGGTGGGGGCCGTGAGGAGATGGACGCTGGGATCCCCGACATGGGCGCAGTGGCTCAGGTCCAGTGCGCTCAGTTGGGGCGCATGTCGCAGAAGGAGCCGCAGGGAGGCATCTGTCAGCTCCAGGCCTGCCAAGCGCAGCTCTGCTACCCCCTGCAGCCGCCCACGGCTCTCCGTTTGCCCTGGGTAGGCAGATAAGAAGTCAGCACTCCCACCCCTCTGCTTCTGTCCCTGCATCTAGGCATCCAGACCAGCTGTTTCCATACTCATATCCCTTACCACCACCTAAATCTGCTCCCACTATATGTGAAGCTCAGCCTTCTCTCTCTGCGTGGCCTGCTCTTCTCCTAAACACCCACACATCTGACCTCATCTCCTCTGTTCATTGCTCAGCCTCCTCAGTGAAGCCTGCCAAGATTACTCCACTTGAAACTACAATATTTCACAAAGTCATACCCTTCCCTGCATTATTTTTCCCCCCTTTCCCACCATCTAAGATATATTTCTCTCTCTTTCCAATAGAATGTCAGTTCCATGGAGGTAAGAATTTTTGTCTGTCTTATTTTTGTTGTATCCCCAACAACTGCAACACAGGTGCTCAGTACATAGTCACGCATCCAACAAATGACATCCTAACGGGACTACCATTCCAGGTTGCTCTACTTCTCTCTCCTAGCATGATTAATTTAGTAAAGTCACCAACTGGATCCCTTTTCCTCCACCCCCCACCCCCTCATCACCACTCTGAGTCAATACCACTCTTGTCCCAACTCCTGCCCCAGCCTCTTCACTCATTCTAGTCTCTCCTCTTCTGGAATCCAGAGACAGCCATTCTCAAATACAAGTGGAACAACATCCCTTGTCTACTAAAAACTCTCTGACAGCACATCAAATAACTTAAACCTCTTTGGTGGAACATTCTAGTTTCTGTAAGATCTTATCCCTTTCTCAGCTCTTAACTCCTCTCCCTCACCCCCGAACATTTGGACCAAACTACACAGGTGACTCTGCCTTGAAAGACTCTCCCTGTGGCCATCTGTGCTCAGCCCTCTGCCTGGTCAGCATCCCTGGCTTTTAGGTCTGAGCTCAGAGGACTCCTCTTCCCCTATCTCCAGGGTAGATGAATTTACACTGCTCATCTCTGCACCCAAAGTACACAGTCTGCTTCCCTTTTATTGAATCTACCACATTCCTGGCATTATAGTTTCTGTCTGTCTGTTTTTTAGAACTAAATGCCTATGGTACCCCAGCAGCCACTAACTGAGCTCTCACTATAGGCCAGACACAGGCTAAGTGGCCATCTGCCCCTAGGCCAATGGCTCTCAAACTATGTCCCCTGGAAGGCTGGTTAAAATGGATTGCTGGCCCTGCCCCCAGAATTTAGGCACTCTAAGTTGGGGCCTCAGAGTTTATTTTTCTAGCAAGTTCTCCAGTGATGAAGCTGCTGATCTGGAGACCATGCTTTAAGAACCACAGCCTTGGGAAACAAGCTCTCTATCATTCCTGTTTACAGATGAGAAAATGGAGGCTCAAATCATTAAGCAATCTGTCCAGAGTCACATGACTATGAAGTAACAAAGCTAGGACCGCAGGCCTGGTGACTCCAAGTCCAAACACCACAAAGCTATATGCCTCCTAGGCACCAGCCTAGCCCCTAGATAAACCAAATCAGATGCCACAAACTCATGAACCTAGTTCACACAAAGTGTTTTATGGAGACTGCATAATGCTAAAAATTTTCTTAGTTACTAAGCCTACCAAAAGGACATTTTTATAAAAATATTTAGATGTTGAACTTTTCCTTGAAAATCATAAGATCTGGTATGACTGGGCTACCCCTTTTACCTGATAACTGGCTGGAGCTGGGTTGCTAGAGGCTACTTCCTAATGTCCTACATAAACCCATCACTTGTTACCTACCAGCCTGCCTCTGTGGATACCTGACTTCGCAAGCCCTGAATCCCACCCCCTTCATTTTTTTATTTTTGGTTAATTCTTACTTGGAGATATTTTTCCATTGATTTTTAGATAGAATGGAAGGGAGGGAGGGGGAGAGAGAAAGACAAACAAAGATGTGAGAGACACATCGATTGGTTGCCTCCTGCGTAACCAGGTTGGGGACTGAACCTGCAACCCAGGTATGCTCCTTTGACTGGAAGTTGAACCTGTAACCTTATGGTCCATGAGCCAATGCTTTAACTGCTAAGCCAAACCAGCCAGGGTACCCCCTCCTTTTTAAAAAAATTTATTTATTTTTTGATTTTCAGATAGTGTAGAAGGAACGAAGGGAGAGAGAGAAACGTCAATGTTACATTGATTGGTTGCCTCCCACATGACCCCAACCAGGGCTGGGGACAAACCGTAACCAAGGTACATGCCCCTGACTGGAATCGAACCCGCAATTTATTGGTCCATGGGCCAATACTCTAACCACTGAGCCAAACTGACCTGATTCCCCCCTTCCCTTTTTTAAATTTGAGGAGCTGAGAACCTGGAGAGGGAATACATCTCAATTTTGGGAAGAAAAGCCACTAGAGGAAAGTAGAGGAGATAGGGCACCCTGGCTTGGACAGGGAAAAGGGGGCATCAGCAAGGGTTTCACTGAGGTGGCAGCATTTAAGCTGGGCCTTCAAGGACTAACCCTGTAGAGAGGTGGGAAAAGAATATGCCAGGAAGAAAACAGCAGGGGCAAAAGCAAGAAATAGAACTTCAAGTCTTGCTCCAGGAACGCTGTACAAACTAGGGAACCAAGATCAGAAAGGTAGCTGCAGAGTTCCAACATGCACAATAGACCTCGAGGGCCCCAAGGCTCCTCTTTGCAAGTTCTTGATAAAGGGGCTTAAACTGAAGTGAATTCAGGCAGAAGGAGATGGGATCAGTCTGCCAGTCAACCAGCACTTTCTCACCTCAGGGAGTGCACCATTCCCAATGCCCACCCTTATACATGCCTAAATCTTCCCGGCTCAGTCCAGTTCCAGTAAGAGTGGGCAGTGGGCGAGTGCTCTGGTTTGGCTTTGCCTGTGTGACTTGCAGCCCTCAACCCCTCTGGGTTTCTGATACCTCATCCAGAAAATGCAAAGAATCCTAGGTGCTTCTCTACTCC